CTGTAGGCACGAAGGGCTGAAAAGGCTCCTTGCAATATTGGTGTGGCTGTCTGTCACACAAAGGCTGACATCTCCCTTGAAGGGTCTGTGCAGGTTCCCAGCCCAGCAGGGAGCTCCTGGGCTCTGAGTGCAGATGAAAGAAGCGATTGCAGAGCAGACAATTGGCATCCGCCAGGACATGGCCAGAAAGGGAAAGCCTGACCTAAAGGCAGGGATTTGGGCAGGGTTTTGTCACACCAGATTTGGGCTGGACTCTTCAGACACCTAATCCTGTACCCTACTCATTACATCCCACAAGGAAAAGCTTGTGAGGGCTGTGCAGGAAATATGCAAGAGGTTGCTAAGGGGGAAGTTTGGGCTAAAGCTGAGTCAAAGATTTTCCAAAATTTGAGCTAATATTTGTCACTGTAGCTCAGAAATTCTCCTTACCAGGAGAACAGCTAATCCATTTTAAACCCCGCTAATCTCCAGCTATCAATGATATTTGAGCATCTGAATGAGAGGGGGTTGTTACAAAAGAATTAAACAGCATCTCTAAGCTTGGAGGTCATCTTAGAGGTGATTGTAGGAGCAGTAACTGCTGTGAGTAATAGCTGCCTTCTCTGGGGTCATTGCTTTTTAGAAGGGGAAAGTGATGTGAAGGGACAACATCCAGAGCTGTGGTCTGGAGTGTGAGTCAGGGCTCAGTTTAGAGCACGGCACCCCTGAGATTACAGGTGTGAGGTGAGCTTGATTCTCAGAGCTGTGACCTTGGACTCCTGCAGGTGAAGGAAGCCAAGACAATGTTAGAAACTCAGACTCTTATTTCATCATTATATGTATATTAAAGGCTCAAAGACAATACCTAGAGATACATTTTCCCCGCTCTTCACGGATCTGGTGCATCCTTAGTCCTCCCCTGGCCTTTCACTGCAATATTTCAGTAATTGCCATGGTGACTCAGGTGGAGTCATCTTTCTATTTAATATCTGCTAAATTGTGGGGTTTTTTTATTTTTAATTGACAGTTTAGTTGTTTTTTAATCTGCATAACCTTTCCTCAAGCTCAGCACTGTGCAGAAAGGTACTCCAAGCTTGTGGGACCCACTGGGTGAGAATTATTTTGTTTTCTGTCTGCTTTGAACTTGCCTCTGCTTTCCTGATCTGACTCACAGTTCCTGTGCTGAGACACTGAACAATTCTTCCCTGTTCATCTTCTGGATGAAAATTTTACAGACCCATTTCACATCTGTTCAAAGCTATTTCTCTTCCACATCTGCAAGTGGCTAAAATAATTTCCATGCCTTTTTTTTTTTTTTTTTTTTTCCCCACTTGTTGCCTTTTCTAGGCCTCTTTTGTGAGGAGTAAAATGTGACCTCCTGACCAGTATACAAAGATGTTTACAGTTTAAACAGTAGAATATTGTCACCATAAGGTGCCTTCTTTGTTAAAATATCTCATGCTGTGTCATGTTTGCTAAATATCAATGTTGTTGTGACAGCCTTGTTAATGCCACCTGGCCTTGTCTATTGCCTCTGCTGCACCCAGCACCCCCAATGGCAACTGATGACAGCACCCAGTGTGTAGATGAGCCGAATTCCCATGGGGGGTAGCACCCAGGAGAAGTGGGATTAACATCTGAAGACCCCTAGAATCAGAGAGCCATGCCACAAACCGGACTCCAAACTCTATTGAGGAGCAAGGGAGAACGTTGCGCAACTGACTGGACCTCGTTGCCATAGCTAAAACAACACTTGCTATCCTAATATTTGTCAGAACGTTTCAGGGAGGCTTTAGTGTTTCCTTTCTAGGGCTTTTGTTTCCTCACTTAATGGAGCTGATTCTGTATCAGCTAGGAATATTTCCATATTTCTCTCCTGTTCTTGGATTTTTGATTTCAACTTGTTTGGTCCATCTTGTTCTATTTTGCAGACTGGGTGATAACCTGAGAAATTACTGAAAAGATCAGGGCACTGTCTCCTGAAAGAAAAAAAATGGAACTACTCCCAGGATAAGATGACCTGACTTAAAGCATAACATTTTAGACAAATTGACACTGATGATATAAATAAATTGAGAAAATTATGCTAGAGGCCTCAGTCTTCATATGTACAGGAGAATGGGAGGGGCTGAAACAAATCTCTCTGCATTCCATGCCAAAAGGATTCCTACTCATTAGCACATAGAAATGCTGATGGATAATTAAGTAATTTGGGAGACAGACCATGCATATGGGAAGAATTTTTGGTATTTTATGACCTCCTTCACTGACCTATGTAATTACTGTGCTGCTGACTGATGCAGCAACATAAACCCTCTGTGAACATCTCTATTATGAAGTTGATTTCAATTCTAAACGACCTTTCTTTTTATTAGTTACATTGGGATCAAAAACATGGTTGTTAAATTTTCTATCTCCTCCAGTGCTATTAAAGTGAAAAAGAATATGGAGAGAGAAAAAGAATATTACAATTTATAAAGTGGTCAATTTCTAAGCTACCTCCAATGTAGTATGGAAAACAGAGCCAACTCGTATTTGGCAAGAACAATCCGTGTCAAACCAGTCCAATTTCCTTTTCTGACAGGGCAAATGGCTTAATGGATAAAAGAAGCAGCAAATGTGGAATTTTTACTGTAGTAACATTTTAATGTGTATTTTTATAAACAATACTTAGAAATCATAGGATTATATTAGAATACATGGGTGGTGTCACCTAGTGCTGGAGCAAAACTTAGTGGGGGAAAAAAAAAGGGAGTTTAGGGAATAGCAGTTAATGATTTGTCCTCTGGAAATAACTCCCTGGGCACTGCATAAAAATGGCACTTACCCAACTTCCTAAACTCTCCTGTAATCAGGCATTGGGAATTACACAGGTTTTCTATAATACCAATGGTAAGAATACAATTTCTTGTCATGTCTTTTTCCTTTGAAATGAATAGAACTTTCAGTAAGGAATTGATTGAAATTTTACCATTTAAGTGTCTGAACTGACTTACTGACGTGACAGGGATTAAACAATAAAAGCTGACAGTCCAGACAGAAACTTGACACGTTCATCACAGTAGATACTAGGATGGGCACCTGAAGAAACGAATTATGAACTATTTGGTCAGCTAGGCAGGTTTAGGAAGCTAATGATGTGACAGGGACATTTCAAACCCTGGCAGGGGAAGCTGTACACTCAGAAGAAGTTCATGTTTAAGTCATACACTTTGTCAGGAATATGAATCTGCACTATTAAATCAGGAATAGGTGATTATAATGACACAGTCCAATTTAGGACAAGGTTTAATCACTTGCAGGTCCTTAAACCCTTCCTTGACTAAATGGAAACTGTTGTTTCCTGCATTAGGGATTATAACTTAATCATGATTGGGGTTCCAGAACTAAATGATAGCAAGTAGGTATCAGAGGAAGGTCTAGAAGAAGGATGCAGATGCTAAAAGAGCTTTTAAAATCCTAACCTAAAAGAAGAAATAATTTCCTTTATAAATAGGTATGGATGCTAAATCTAAACCACAGTGCCTGTACAAATTACAGGCCGCCTGGCTCCTCGGGCTGCCTGAGAAAATAGCCTGGGAAAAATATGAGAAGGAATTAAAAGAATTCTCAGAGATACTAAACAGCCTTGCAGGTGTTGTTTTGCAGTCTTGTTTTCTCTTGCAGGAGAAGGCCAGGGGGGTGATGGGCCACCCTGGCCAATGATGGTGATGTAGCACTTTGTTAACCAATAGGAGTTTCTTTTCTGTACCTTCCACGTACCAGTCTATAAAACAGGCCTGAAGTAATAAACCAGGGAATTCTCGTGTTGTGACTCCCTTGAGAGTCCATTGTCGTTCTTCCTAGCCGTTCCCAATCGGAACGACAATAGGAAACTATAAAGAAGGAGCAGTGTGTAAAGCTCATAGATTGGACTCATTCTTGAATATGATCCTCTCTGGAAGAAACTTGACTTTAGGTGGAGGAAACCTGTGGCTCACCTAGCTAGTGAAGGTGAATTATCAGGAGACATATCTGCAATTGTCAGTGCTTTCTGCAGAACACCCAAGTTCCCCCCATTCCTCTCCACCACCACCTTGTAGCATTAGTTCTTGCCAAATCCAGACCTGCTCACAAACTCTGTGTGGCACCTGGCAGAGGAGGAAACTGCTCCCTGGAGTGGTGACTGAAACAGCTGCCTGAGCACCAGTGTGAGCAAGCAGAGGGAGTGGGACCAGCTGGGACAGCCAGGGCTGTGTGGGGCAGAGCTGGTGCTGAACCCTTTCCCCACCTTACCACACAGCTCTGCACTGCTCATTCACCATTTTCTGCCAGTTTGGGCACCCCTGTGACGCTCTGGGAACATGAGGGGTGATGGGATCCCATGTGTTATGGGGTATGCCCACAGGCATGCAAGTCACCATTATTATCATGCATTTCTAAGTTAAACTCTTGACACCAAGAGCTCTGTGACATGGATGGGGAGGTGCTTTATGGCCAACAGAGAATATCAAAGAGTGGAAGCTGGCCTGGGCCTCGGCTAAATGTGACACAGGGCTGAAAAATGGGTGTAGTTCCCAAATGGTCAGTCCAGCACCATTCCTGAGCTTGACACTCACTTGAGATTAGCATGCAATTTAAACCTAAGCATTACAAATGAAGGTAATCTTACAAGGAACATATAATTTACATTTCTAAACTCACACTCTTTGTTTTGATGTAACCCATAAAGCTCCTGCTCTGCAAGGCCAGTGGACACTGCTTATTGCCTTTAACCTGTTTCAAGGTATCTTTTTTATCCTTCATCTTAAATCTTTGGTGCTTATGCCAAGGAGAACGTGACAGACCTGACAAGTTTTGTGATCCCTTTTAGCACCAGGAGTTGTATCATTCATCCAGAGACCCCTGACACTCATCTTGAATCTCGTATTACCTGCCCTCACAGAGTTTTTTTAAATCCTACAGATGCATAAATAAATGCTTTTTTCTTTGGCCTTCTGCAGCCATGCAAGTATTAACATACACAATACTTAGACACTGGGTAAAATGGTTATTTTTAGAATTTCCTCACTTCATAAAACAGTACAATAGCTATGATGCCACAAATAACTCACTATGAATTCTTCTTATAAGCAAACAGAGGAAGTGTGAATTTAGGAAGAGGCAAGGACTTCAGAAGATGCAATTTATTAAAATACCAGATTAAGTAGTGTAAGTAAAAATGTATCTATTAATAATGGTTTTGCTTTGGGTCAGTGAAAATAGAAAGTAGATTTTATTCCATAGGTCATTCTAAAACCTATGCAGAAATGCCTAACACTCAATAACCATCAGTGAGTCCAAGTTTTGTCTGTGATAAAAAGCAACAAAAGCAGTGGACTGTTAAATTCATGACGAATTTTCTGACTTCTGGAAAGATTTGTTTATGTTATTATAAAAGTGAGGTTTACTTGGGAAATGTTTTTTGTTTAAGATTCCCACTATATTATTTTGTGGATCTAGGAACGTTTCAGTTTCTCTCTTCTATTACCTGTCAGTGAAGAAGCAATGAAGTCACAGCAAGTTTAAAACCACTGGCCAGAAGTTTTCCTTGTGTACTTTTCCCCAGTTCCTAGGAAATGGAAGTGCTGAAGTGCTTTTTTATGAAATGGAGTGTCAGCCATCTGATTACAGCTGGCTTGGGATGGGACCTAACGACCAGGAAATGCAGTGAAAAAAAAGAGAGCATTGGAAATGGTTTCTGAAAGACCATCAGGAATTTGGCTTGGGGCTTTCTTGAAGCATTAGCACATTGAGTTCTGTTGTTGTGTGTCTGAGGAGTAACTACAGCACTCTGTAGATTAGTACCCTTACTTTGGTCTGGAAGGCTCCCAGATCTCCTACAGACCCCTACCAAGAAAATGGATAAACAGCTTCTAATTTCCCTCTGGCTAGATTTTACAAGGTGTTTTGGAGACATTTACTAAGCCACAACCAGTGATTCTCAAACTCACTTGTGTCCCAACACTTGGATTTTATAGGCGCTTTTTGACAGACTCCAGCCTACTTGTAGTGCTGCAGTTGTGATTCCAGCTGCTGAATGTGTATCTGCAGATGTGGCACCTCATTAGCTCTCACTTCCAGCTCCTTCACTTTGCCAAGACTGTTCAGGACAGCGTGTCTGGCCTCTTCCACCTTCCTCCTCATCTCTGCCTGCTCTCTCTTCAGGTTACGGTTGCAATCTTCCAGGCTGACCAGAGCTTCCTGTGAGCTCTTCAGCTCCTTCTCCAGCTCCTGGTTGAACCTGATGGCTTCTTCAATCTGCCCATCCCTGGAGCTCCGGATGAGCTCCATTTCCTTCAGGACACTTTGGAGGCACTCAGTCTGGGAGTGGTTCTGTGTTAATGGTTTCTTACTCCCTATGAAGCAGGATCCCTCTTCTTTATGGCTGGCGTGGCTCTTCCGCAGTCCCACCTGTAGATACCAGGAGCACAAAGCAGGGGGAAATTGATGTTTTAATTAAGACTGAGAGTGGCTGGATTGTGCTTTGTTGTTTTTTTTTTTTCTAATCACATATATAGTTGATCAGTAACTAAACCTACTTGACCTTCACCAAATACATAAAGAAACAATCTCTGGAAAGTAGTTAATACCTAGCTCTAAGTTTAATTTTCAAACTACTCACTATTATATTATTGCACGACTTTCTGTATAGCTTTAATGTCATTACTATCTCAGTACTCAGTCCTGTGCTGAAAAAGATACTTCCAGTGAAGTTGTGTTCAGAAGAAGAGAGCAGGGAGCAGCTGGGGATGTTCCAGAGCTCTCCTCTGTCATTTTGATTCTTCCTGGGACCTCTGGCTGGTGACTTCCCGTTTGCTGCTGATTTCTTTTCCCTTTTTTAGATGAAACTGGTAAACCTGACCTAAACTTGACCTGCCTTGCTGGACATTGTGAAGAGGAACAGTCATCTACTGCAGGTGGAAGTGTCACAGGTGGAGCAGAGTGGAGCAGAGTTCTGTGAGCGCTGTGTTAATATTAAATCAGAGCTGGTCAGGCGAGCTAGAGCAATTGGTCCATGCTGCCCTTCACAGCCTGTTCCACACTTTTCGTGCCAGAGTAATTGAACTGCTGTTAAGTGTATATGTGTTTCACTCAAGCCAGTAGAGCAGAACCAGCAGAAACCAGCCCAGGAATTAATGGGCCTCTGCAGAGGAGCTCCAGACTATTCATCAGCCTGCCCACAGAACTGGTTCCAGCTCTGAACTCTTGGGATCACACTCTGAACAAAACATGCTTCTAATATTTCTAAGGCACTTATGACTGAGGCACTGCATGTGCTAGTGCAGCTAAGAATCCAGAAATTCTTTCTTCAGGAGGAACCCTGCAGTGGTGCATATCCAGCATATGGTATCAGCACATCCCGACTGCAAGTGCAGCAGAAGCAGCAGCATTTTACTCGTGGGTTTGTTAAGCTGAACTCCCCCAGACTTTTGACAGCGCTTGTCACAAGTACATTTAATGGCACACCGGTGCCGTACATTTCTCCTTAAAGCCTCCCTTGTAATAAACTCTTCTAAAACGTTAATGCCCAGGATGAACGAGCAACTTTGGTCTGAGTCTGGAGGTGCAGGGGTTATAAACACTGACTTTCCCAGGGCAGCATCTCGCCTGAAGCACCCGGGGCCATCCCAAGCCGCCCCGGACTCACCTGCAGCGCCAGGCACCGCGCATCGCTGCTCTGCAGGGCGGCCCGCATGTCCTCCACCAGCTCCCGCAGGCTGCCGTTCTCCTCCTCCAGCTTGGCGATGCGGTCCTCGGCCTGCTCCAGCGCCACGATCTCCTCGTAGCACTCTCGGGAGCAGGGCCCGGGCGGCCGCCGCTCGGCGCTGCCCG